TGGTTTTAAAAAAGTTTACGGAATTTCCATTAAAAAAAATCGTTAAAATCGGACAATTAAGAGCAAAGGTATAGTCTCTAGATGTTTTTTATGCTCTATTGCAAATCCTTTGTTTTGGATTTTGATATTTGTATGGGTTACTGAAGTAATGCTATTTTTTTAAATATTTTTTTTAGTTAATTACTAATGATGAAAAAAAAATGTTTAGGCAAATAATTGGAATTAACTTTTTATTTCATTTAATTTGTTGCTAGAAAGGTAATGTTATTTTAGATGTATAATTGTTAGGAAATATTAAACCGTTGTGAAATAATTTCCAGCGTTTTTTTATTGCTATAATATAATGTTGGATGCGAATAATTTTTTTTAATTCAGTTTTCTTTGCACTGCATCTTTTCATAACTAGACCGCCCTTGAGTTAATTCTTGACTTCTACGTTTCGGCGTTTTGTTGCTGTCTGTATTTCCTCTGATCATATAGTTTACCTGCGAGCACAGGTTATCCGATGAGTTTCTGTTGCCAGTTCTCTGGTCTCGACGATTTTCCAAGCTTCTGAAAATGAAACCTACTCTTTTCTAAATAAATCAACTCGTTTCTCATGATTCTTTATGCCGCAAACAAACTGATCTCTTAGTGACCTCTCAACATCAGAAAAGTTACAGTGCATACTCTTTTCAAACGGGCTACAAAATCATTTATTGTTTCTGACTCTATCTGATATGTATTGTTGAATTTATGTCTTTGTAATAGTTCCAAAGATTTGGGATTAAGTGCTTAGACATTAAAGAAACAATTTCTTTAAATTAGAGGTCCTTTAGGTTTTTTGGTATTGCTAAATTTCTAATGAGAATGTAGGTTTCTGCACTCACCTTTATAAGCAGTTCTGGTACGTACTTACTTTCTTCATTATCATGTGTAATTGCAGGCGGATCTACGAGAGAGGGGGGCTTTAGCCCGAAAGCTACCCCCTCCCCCAAAATGGTAAAATGTAACCATGTTTTACAGAAAAAAATATTAAAACTATCTCTTACAGTATTCTTGTTCGTGTAATTATATTTAATAGGACTTTAAGAACCACTTAAACACTATTTCATATAGGTAATTAATTTCTTTATTTTTTTCAAATTAATTATCGTTATTTGCATATGAAAAAAAAATCTTTCGGACTAAAGCCCCTCCCCCAAAAGAAAAATTAAATTCTGGATCCGCTAGTGTGTGTAATGAAATTATATTGAAGTTCTAACCTTTCAATATAAGTACATTAGTCATCCTCATGTTACTGGTATCATCCTATAGCTTGCTCCTTCATTCTTTGTTTTAACTTGGGTTACCTTTTCACTAATTTCCTCGTTTTCTTCTTTATTTTCACTTCTCAATTCCTCCACTCAAATTTGTCTTATCTTATCTACAGATTCAGCATCATCAAAAATTACACCTAATTCTTTTATATTTTTTTCATATTTTAGGCAATAAAACTTCCAATTTTCTTCATATTTTTTTATTTATGCTTTTTGTCTCTTACGTTGCGGGACAATTTTCCCATCATCAGAGTAATATTTTTATTTTTACATTATTTTTTTGTTGATGTGGCACCATTTGTCAAAAATTAAATATTTGTCATATTTTTTAAAAAATTATTTGGTGTTACACATATTCACTCATACACTAATCAACAATTACTCTGATGATGGAAAAATTGTCCCGAAACGTAAGAGACAAAAAGCATAAATAAAAAAATATGAAGAAAATTGGAAGTTTTATTGCCTAAAATATGAAAACATTATGAAAAACTATGAAAAAATTATAAACGTAAGCTTCCTAATAAAAAAGAAAAATAAGAAGATAACTAATTCTTTTAGTTTTAAAATGAAATCTTGTTCGTTTAATTCATACACCCACGAAGTACCTTTCTTCATTACTTTTATCCTCGTCGCCAAATGTTAAGTATTTGAATATTGAAACACAAAACTACAATATTAGTAATCAGAACTCTTTCATTCATCATAAAAGATAACACTGTTAAGTTACTACAACTAAATCACTTATTGATATTATCGATATATCACACTTACTATGTATTGCATGTATATGTAAGGGAAAATAAAAAAATATTTACGTGTGAAGAAGAGAACGTTTTTTTTTTTGTTTTTGTTTTTTTTGTCGTCACCACAAGGACAGGAAGTGCGTAGTTGATTGAACACGAGGTATTAGCAAAGCTTATTAACCAATGCTTTCTAGATCGTGACCCAGTAAGTGTAGCATGGACCTCGACCGCCGTTCCCGCCGGCGGGAGATAAATCCTCGTGTCGTCAATGTAGTTTTTTATTTTTATTTCTATTTGTCCTCTCGTGCTGATATCGCAGCTGTCGGCGCCAGAGAACGCTCATTGGAAATTTTTTTATTTAGACATAATATTCTGCCACGGGGACAATAATTATATTGATAAATGAACACATTCACACCGTATATACAAAAAAAAAAATTAACAAAAGTAAAATAATAACTAAATAATAATAAATAGAAACTATATACAATAAAAAAATAAAATAACCTAAATATAAGTAAATTAAAAACATAAAAATACAGTCATACCTATATACAATATATACAATCAGGCGGGGAACCCAAATCCCTGCGCTACTCTCTCAATCGCCTCACCGGTGCTAAAGCCGGTGGAGTTTGAGCTAGAGCGCTTTAGCCACATACACTCATGTCTTGAGTGGAGTATCTGACCATTGCCAGAACTCCAAGATAAATACTATAAAAGATCTCTGGGCCACTGCCGCTTCAACCTTCGAGGAGGGTTGTAGGGATGAATGGAACTAGATAGGGATTGGGCTAGGGGATTTGGATGATTGATAAGGTTCTGATGGAATTTTGAAAATTTTTCAGGGATAAGGTCAAGGACAGTGGAAATTAAATAACAAAAATTCTTGCTTTTGGTTTATTATTTGTGTTTGTTATTTTCGAGAGTGTTTAAAAAAGTTCCTGAATGGATGAATGATTAATGATTGATATGCAAACACGTGACACGCTGCTTCTTATCTTTACGTCGTATTTGGTGAGTTTTTTTGTTAAGGATTATACGTATTTGACGTATTCACTATTTATATCACGTATATATTTATATTTCATCATATAAAACTACATGTGTGTTTTATCTCTTAACTACTAAATAATTATGGATGCATACTTAATTTAACAATTATATCAAAATCACGGCTAACAAAGTCTTTAGAAGGTTTGATATCGTCAGTAATTGTTAATTTCCGGATTTCTGCCTTTTTAGATTCATGCAGTATATATATATATATATAGATATATATATATATATATAGGGTTACAATGCAATTGAAAATAAGAAGTTAGTTTATATACAGTAGAGTAAAACTTTCCCCATATTTTACTATATATACTCAAACCCAAGTACCAAAAACAAAGACTGATACGCGCATCACACAACTTTCACTTACCACTCTACCTTGAATAGAAATTGTTTTCTGGCAATGTTGGGCTGTTACAAAGTTTTTGAACTACATTTTTAACGGAGCTAAACCTTAAACCTTACAGCTAACCTGTTAAAACTCATTTAGACGATTAAAATAACGCAAATCTTATTTATTGGATTGGAAAATAAGTCCTTTCGGTTTTACTGTTTATTTTTATGTCACTATGATACACTTCTTATCTAATGAATTAATACCTAAGGTGGATTGTTTATGTCAACAATTATATCTGTTAACTCTTGTTGAAACTAGCTTAGTATTGTGTTTGAGTGCACTTTAAATATGGAGGAAAATATCATTCATTATCGATATATTTTGTTGTATTATTTTAAAAAAGATAGGCGTGCTCATAGAAAAAATTGCGGTGTTTATGGGGAATGATGCCTTAACCGACTGCATCTGTCAAAATTGATATGCCAAATTTTATTCAGGAAATTTCGAAATCAATGATGCTCAACGGTCTGATCGGCTACATGAAATTGAAACGAGCGATGTTAAGGCCATTTTTGATCAAAATCCTATCCAATTACTGCGAATGATTCGTTAGTAACATCGAATTTGGAGAGTCCTAAAGAGTTATAAATGATCGGAAGGGTGTTGTGTTCCACAAAGACAACGCTCACACCTCATTGGTCACTCGCAATAAATTATTGAGCCTTGGATGGGACCTTTTGCCCCACTCTCTCTATTCACCAGACCTAGCTCCAAGTGACTTATTTCATCAAAAACCACTTGGATCAGTTTTTTAACAATAACTCCAGACATTCTATGAACATGGTATTATGCAGTTAGTGGAAATATAGGAAAAAGTCATATTAAACAATTGTCAAAATATTGTAGATTGCAATAAAATTCATATCTATAATACATTGAGCTTTATTTCACCCTGAAAAACCGAAATGACTAATTTGTCAACCCAACATTATATTACATAGCACTTTTAATATTTATATCCTCCCTCCCCCACCTATAATCCTAATCGCTACTTTAATCGACTTAGTTAAAGTCACCATTCTTGTTGAATTGTAATTTAGTGACTAACCTATTTTTTTGGGTGAATAAAATGTAAGTTTTATTAATAATGTCTGGATTCATAAATGAACCTAAAAGTATTTATTAAATGCCTAAATTCATGAATGAACCTAAAAGTTTTTATTAATAATGCCTGGATTCATGAATGAACCTAAAAGTATTTATTAATAATGCCTGAATTCATGAATGAACCTAAAATTATTTATTTATGGTAACATTTTAGATTGCTGAGGTGGAGGGCTGAGTTTCCTCCAAACGTTTGAATAAATTTGCAATAAAATACTAATTTTTGATTAATTTATTTTTGACCAATAGGCATAATGACATATACTTACTTTAATTTGATTTCATTAATTGTCTCGATACTTCTATCACGTATCGATATTACTGTTTTGTTTTATTAATTTAAATTAATTTATATGGGTCACAGTTGGGATAATAAACATAAGAGATAAAAATACTTTGTAAATTGAGTTTTAGAGTTTGCTATACATTTAGAAAAAAATATATATCTAACTTTATTATATACTTTATTTTTTATTAAAAATGAAATAATAATCAGTTTTCAATTATTGTTATTCTAATTTCAAGGTGCTGTATAGATAATATATTATCTATTATAACCATCTTAAAGATAGGATTACATTTTTTTTTTTTTATGTTCATATTGTAAAATTTAAAAAATATACTTTTGAATAACGATGGATATTCCATCGATAATATTCCTAAAAATTCTATATCTTATCTATACATTTAATATTAATAATTATAATAGTGTAATTTAAATAAACAGTTTTAAAAATATTACGTTATTTTTTAAAAACAATACAAGATGTATACCACCTTTGCTAGTTACACTCTGCTGTTGTTCCCTCACTTCCCTTAGTTACTGGCTAAAGGTACTATTTCGTTGACGCGGTCCACGACAGCGACCGCTATTCCTCGCTGCCAACCGCTACTGCCGTACCTATTTCGCTGAAACTGCTCACTGGTGTTGTTATAATCTGCCTATAACCTTCCAACATTTTGCTTTATCTTCGAAGATAAAAAAATGGACATTCTTTTTCTGACTACACTTTTTTATTAGAGGAGGAAAAAGAAGAGAAAATGGTGTTCATAAGGAGAAGGAATATCAGTATTTCGATGAGATGATCGTCATCCAAATCATCAAATCCCTTCTTGGACATTGTTTGCTATTGTCTAGATGAACAATAAAAAATTGAGGAACAACCAAAAAAGAACAAAAAGACGAGCAACGCCATACGAACAACAATAGTCCCTCTGATATTAGATATTATTAGTTTGAAAAGTAATAGTAATTAATAAATAATTGATTAGTAATAAATATAATGTATTTGTAATTAAATCACAACAGGCGATGTTTTATAGTTTTATCAATAGTAATCAGTAAATTCCCACTTTAATTAAAAAATACAAATCGATTTTTCAATGAGTGGATTTTAGTATTTACCTGACATTAAAATTTGTTGGAATCTTTAATTTATTTAATATCGTTTGGATTTAGGTATATTTGAATTTCGCTGTAAAATATTGTTGTAGGATAAATAAATGAAGAATCTTGTTACTTCAACCTTAAAAAAATAATTTACTATTGCATTGTTTAAATTTTAAACAATATTTCTTATAATTTTACCAGACTTGAAAGAAACAAAGGAAATAAAACATATCGACGTGACTGTTATCATCAAAACAACGCTCTGATATGAAAACATTACCTACAACCGCTTCAGGAGCGGTCAGATAGGAGCAGCTTAGATATGACGTCATACCTAGACTGCCGAGCAGCGCCAGCGAAATAGGTTCCTTTCTATTCCACTAAAGCAGCGGTCAACCGCGAGCAGTCGCGGTCGTGGACCGCGTCAGCGAAATAGTACCTTAAGGCATATCCATCTTGGATATTTCAGAATTAGAAATGTTTTCTTCTCTTTGTTCCTACTTGGTTCTGATCTGGCCAGTGGTTCAGGATGTACAACATCACATCCTTCTCGATGAGGCACAGCGGCACTGAGTCCAGCAGGATCCTCTGTTCAGCTATAAGAAGATTTAAATTTATCTTTATTTCTTTATAAATTTATATATATATATATATATATATATATATATATATATATATATATATATATATATATATATTAACATCGATACATCTATACACACATACATCTATATACTGTATTCGTTCCGGTTCTTATCGTAAATATTCAATGAGTTCATAATATACCTTAAGAGTTGCACCCTTATCACAATCCGATTTTCCTCAAAAATCTTTGATTTTTTTTTTTTTTTGATGCCTTTTTAGGCACGTTTTGCACTTTTATTGTGGAGACTGAATTAGATCGAACCGTCAATTTTTCGATGTGTAACGTTCGGGTAAAGTCGGCTGAAGTCAACTAATTGAAGTGTTTTTGCATATGGATTAAAATATCTCAAAAACTAAAGGTCCTACCTGCGTATTGTTAGCACGGGAAATATTCATTATTTGAACCTCTTTGTAATGAGCTATTATTCGAAATTGTATCTTAACGAAATGCCCTGTTAGAAAGGCGAAAAGGGAAAAAAATAGTTGGGGTGATCAGTCAAAATAAAATAGTGAAAATAAATAATTATACATTCACGCGTTTTGGCCGAGTTAGGCATTCACGGGCAAGAGAGAACCGGATAACAATAGTTATAAGAAACTATAAAAATTGAATAATAAAGAATTAAAATTTAAAATTTGAAAGGTAAGGACTAATAATTTAAACGGAGAACTAAGAAAAAAATAATATCTGTTACAAAGCACGGACCAATGAAATAAACATAATCAAAATAAGCTGGTTCGGGGTGAATACTGACCCCGTGAAATACTGACTAAGTATAACAGAATAGAAAGTTACTTTAATATCTTCAGTGCTCGAACCACGCCCTGATGATTACCCACATGTTTGGGTTGAAACGTCGGTACTAATAAAAACCTTATAATGACTGAGTCCTGAATATTTATCGCCCATTTTTTAGTTTTATAAATAAAAGATGTATTTAGATAATTATAATTATTATAATAGATACCGGATCATCAAAGAATAAAAAGTAAAAGCCCTGTAATGTAGTCATTTTTGCCGAAAATAGTAATCTTAGGTGACTGAATAGCAAATCACATAATTTCTTTACATAACTAGTTATTTGAGGTAAATCTCAAAATTTTCTCAAATAAACCACAACTTAATTAATATAGGCTGAAATTATATTAAACGAGGAAGTTTACCCAAAAGTGGGTTAAATCTAGTTCAGTTAAAGACTGAAAAAAAAAATCACAAATAATTTATGATTTTTTTTAACGTAACTCAGCTGTGTTTTTCTGCTCAATATTATTTTAAAATAATTTTTATAATGAGAAACTATGGTATCACTTTAAGCAAATTTTGTTTTGTTTACTATGGAGCAATGTTTAGTTATTTTAAAAAAATATTTTTTATGTTATCGGTTCCTATTGAACAAAAAAATTTTTAAATTTTTTACTTTTCTGCTGGAAATTAGGCAATTATATATATATATATATATATATATATATATATATTTTTTTTTTGTAGATATCCGTGTCTATTGTAAACATTTTAAACATTTCCCTCTACTTACGGAACATCCTGTGTAGTATTATATTGTTCATTTTACAATAATTATCTTAAATAATACCTATAATTTTTTTACATAATATAAAGTCCCGAGATTTTTTTTAAATTTTTTTTTTGGAGGTGTTGTCGAGGGGGGGAATCCATCGCTCGAGACTAGAAAGTCTGTAGCTAAGGGGATAAAGATAGCCGTCTTATGTTATAGCTCTCTTATTATATATTTGATATCGTTATGAATAAAGGCTTATTTTTCTATTAATTTACCTGCATGTCCTTTCTTATGTGCAATTTTAATATGAAAAATATTTTTTTTGTATTTGTTAGTTTTATATTTTATTTTATTTTTATTCATCAAAACGCGTTTTTTATTTTGTTTTCTTATCTTGCTCCGGTTCAGGCAAATTTTTTTAATTTTTAGGGCTCCTAAAGCTGTACTCAAATATATAATTCAACAAGTAAAAACAACACTGTTTAGATTAGATAGTTAAAATGTTTAAGCACGGTACTATATCTGAAAATAGTCTCAGTTTGACTCAAGACCAACACCGATTTTGGGCAACACTAGTCTTATGTTGGAGCTCTCCTTTTATATATATATATTGTATATTATCATGAATAATGGCTTATTTTTCTATTAATTTACCTTTATTTCCTCTTGTCCAATGTTTCAGCGGGATCCTTAATTTACGCCTAGAAGATAATTTGCTGAGAACATTTTTGTATTCGTTTAAGTTCTCTTCGGAACATATAGGGATCTTTTCGATGATCATTTTCTTATATACGTCCACAGGAGATATCATCAAAGTGTGTGGACGAGAACTCTCCCCTTCCTCCGTTTTACTTGATGCAAATTCTAATGATTCCTCGTCGTCCTCTTTAGATTGTTTCCTTGCATCCACGTCATCTTCCTCATGCTTTTCTAAAGAAAGTAACTTTTCGGTAATGGCTTCCATCAACACTCTTATCATTTCCTCAAAAACATCCATCTCGTGGTCCCCTTTTTTACATTGGCAGGCGTAGATGAGACAGAAGAAGAGGAAGATGGACGTAGGGGAGTACATCTTGACTGAAGAGTATCCGTTCGTGCTACAGAGAAGGTGACATTGGGAAATGCCATAAATCGTTTTACGGCTTGGAACATTAACTAAACAATAGTTCCAACTTTTAATGACTCGTGAAATGGCTCTACTGTAAATGTAAACTTTCCATCGTTACAATTCATAAAATTCAATATTAAATAAATCATCCGAAAATAAAACTATTCATAAAATATACGCTTCTCTGATATGGGACATTTACACATCGACCAGTACAATCCCTAGATATTTAATGAAAACCGAATAAGCTGCACAGACCGTGGTACAGATCTCTTTTATCAAATTATTAACATCCGTCTGAAACATTGTAATTAACTTCATCTCGGTTCGTATGATAATTTGATTAAAAAATCGTGATTTATAAAAATATTGGGCCGTTTGCCCCATATAATCTCGTTATTTTGACATTTTAGGGAAGTAGTTCACGCCAAATATTTTTAAGGCATTTTTTTTTTCTCAAGTTTGTGCTGAAATAATCTTACAATTCAAGTGAAAGGCAAATGGGTATTCACGAGTTTTCAGTGTCTTATTATCTAGGCATAGTTTGACTGTCTCCATTTTGAAAACACCCCAATTTCGAGAATTTTCTTAAATAAAATATTTGCAGATTATAATAAAGTGTAGCTATTTACGAAGTTTCAGCCGGATGTTAATAATTTGATAAAAAGGGCTCAGTACCATAGACTAGTAGTACATGATATGCCGTCACATCCGTTCGACTGCAGACAGAAACTGAAACAAATTTGACCTTGATGTCGGAAACTTAAAACGCGAGTGAAATTTTCGATTAAGAAGAAAAAAAAATGAACGTCCCACAGGAATACTCCTCCCTACAGTTAAAAAAAAAAAAAAATTATGGAAATGTTTTATAGGCTCGAAACACATGAGGTGAGAAATAATTCTATAAGATGGATCCATGAAAATATAATAACATCAATATTTAACTTTTTGCATGTAAAAGTTGAAAGAAATTTCCTTAAGCATTTCAGGTATTGGTGCATTTATCCTATTTTTTAATTTTTATTTCGGATAAACGATTTCCATTTCAATTAAATCTTTAAGAAGAAATGGAGGCCCGGACGATCCGGACAGCCTTCACGGCAGCCGATCTCCAAGCTGGTAGGGTATCGCCTCCCACACTGCCTCATCCCCTCCCCCAGCTGGGTGCCTATTGACGAGGTTTTGTCCCCGGTGGAACGGGACGAGGTCGTTCAACCATTTTGACGACAGGCGGCCTTTTGTATTTCTTACGGTGGCATAACATCTCGTCATTAGTCAGGGGTTCCTCTATGGAAACTTTTGTTTGTTCCTCTATTTGCTCCAAGTAGAGAGATATTGGAAATATATAGGTGAAATATTTTTCTCAAATCGACAGTTTTTTTTTAGTTTTAGTTTTTATTTTTATTTATTTTTATTTTTTATTTCTTTATTGAATATTACAACAATCTGGCTCTTGGACATTGGTTACAGTAAGGTAGGATGACATTCACACCATATGTACAAAAAAAAATAAATAAATAGAAACAAAATAATAATAAAAAGGATATACAATAGATAATAAAATAAAATAACCTAAAAAATAATAAAATTAAAACTAAGCAAAAAACATGCATACCTACATACAATCAGGCGAGGGAACTCCAGAAGAACCCTGTGGTACTCTCTCAACCGCGTCACTGGTACTAAAGCCTGTGGAGATTGATCGAGAGCACTTTAGCCACATACACTCATGTCTTGAGTGAAGAATCTGGACATTGCCAGAACTCCAATATATACAATCAACAAAAGGTCGCGAGGCCACTGCTGTTTCAAACTTCTTGGAGGATTATAGAGATGGGTGGTGTTGGATACGGATTGTGCAAGAGGATTTGGGTGGTACGTAAGGTTCTGGTGAAATTTGGAGAATTTTTCTGGGATAAGGTCTAGGACGAATGGGATGTTGAGGTCATGATGTAGGGTTTTGTTGGTTACATAGAAAGGACCATCGACTATTGTTCGAAGTACCATTTTACTGTAAAAACGCTGAAAATTATTTCAGAATGGTTTATTATTTCCCAACAATTATACATCTAAAGTAACATTACCTTTCTTTTAATTTTTTTTTTTATTTATTGAATAATAATACAATCAGCCACTGTTGAAGAGCTATTAGTATTGAGGCTAAAAGTTCTCATTCATACAATATATACAGATAATAGAGAAATAACTATAGATATAAGAAACTAAATAAATAATACTGATAAAAGAAAGTGAATAAATGAGAAAAAATAAACAAACAAAATGAAATAAAAACTTCTAAACACATACCTATATACAATATATGCATTCGCCCAGAAATCTCCGAGCCAGGCTTTTTCCCCCACACGTGGAAGGCAAAGCAGGACTCCCAGGAGATCCCAGTGCCACTTTTCCAGCCGCATCACTAGTATTAGAAGCCAGTGGAGGCTGAAAGAGAGCACGAGAGCCACAGACACTCAGGACATGAGTGGAGAAGCTGGCCATTGCCAGACTCCCAAAGCATATTTACAAGAGATCTCGTGGCCACTGCGATTTCAACCGTCGAGGAGGATGGTATGGATGCTCGGAGCTGAAGAGGGATTGGGATGATGAATGAGGTTCTGCTGAAAGTTTGAGAATTTGAATGGGATGATACCAAGGACATATGGTAAGGTCATGGTGTAGGGTCTTGTTTGTGACATAATATGGAGGATTGGCTATTGTTAGAAGGACTTTGGACTGGAATGATTGGGTACGTTTGATATTAGACGATTTATTACCTTTCTAGTGACAAATTAAAAGAAATAAAAAGTTAATTATAATTATTTGCAAAAACATTTTCTTTCTTTCATCATTACTAATTAGTTTTTAAAAAATAGCATTACTTCAGTAACACATTCAAAAATCAAAATCCAAAAGGATTTGCAGTTGAATATAAACAACACCTAAAGGCCATGTCTTTGCTCATAATTGTCCGATTTTAACGATATTTACTTCAATAATACTCCACTTATTCCTGTTGAGCAAATCCGCTACTTAGGACTCCACCTTGACAAACGACTCACTTGGAACCCCCATACCAGACTGAAACGACTAGAAACAGCCCGACGTTTTCGACTACTGCAGCACTTACTAGACAAACGCTCTAAGCTTTCAATCAATTACAAACGACTCATATATATATGACTATAATAAGACCTATTTGGACTTACGGAATTGAGCTTTGGGGCTCCACTAAACCATCGAATTCCTCTCGTATCCAATCCTTACAATCCAAAATCCTTCGTAAAATCCTCAACGCTCCTTACTTTGTCACAAATAAAATCATCCATAAAGACCTTAATGTTCCATATGTTTCCGATCTGGCACAATCCAGATACCTTTCCTTCCATAACAAACTGCAGAACCATCCGAATCCTCTCGTTTCAAACCTTGCTTCCTCCTCGATCCCTGATAACCCTCCGAGGTGTCTGAAAAGAAGATGGCCTAGGGATCTTCTAATATAGAACTTTAATTTGAGTTCTACCAATGGATAGTTTCTCTTCATGTTGTACATGCCATGTTACAAATTTCTCATTTACTTATTGTATTCTCTATGTAATACAGTTGTAAATTCCATTAAAATAAAAAAAAAAAAACGATATTTTTTTGTTTTTTAGGAAGTTTCATAAACATTTAAATAACTATAAAAATTTTTATTCGTTTTTCGAATTCTACGTATCCTGATAATTAGTATATCACTGATAGATTACATTGTGCTACGATATAAATACACGAAGATACATAATTATGAATAATTTTGTTCAGTTTGAGTTTTTCCGTTCTATTTCTCTTTTCAGGATTTTATATAATATGGAAATTATGTCAAGGACCCGGCTGTTCTTGAAATTTTCCGCTCTAATAGCTCCAGATACAAATTGGTTATGCATCTTTTTTTTCTGACTTTAAATAAAGAAATTTGTTCCCTACTGACAGTTCTTTTTATCTTTGGATTTTAGCTGGTTGAGATCATTTATTTCTCTCTTTTTCATCATATAAATCATATACGAGAGGCTCGTCAATAGTACATAATTTAATACAATATATATGAATGAATATATTCACAAAGCGAACCAAGCATAATATAACTTTTGACACTGCCAAAAATAATTATATACTATAGTATTTTTCACAATAATTTAAATTAAGATCAAAGTTCGTTAATTTGAGCTGAATTATAATTCAAGTGATAAAAAACAAATGTACGCTTATGAATGTACGTTTAAATAAAAAAAATTTGGTGAATCCACTCAACATGATTTTTTAAACTTATTTCAGAAAAGTTTTTATATCTTTACATACGTACATCAAGAAACAAAAAAAAAATTAATTAGATTTATATTCCTTAAAATTAATCAAAGAAAAAATTTAAGTACGATTTGTTTGATAAACTAAAGCAATGTAAACCGGCTTAAGGTACATCAGTGTAAAAACAACAATACTCTCTAATATTGCTGATCAAAAACTTTTTGATATAGCTTAGTATTGTCAAACAATAATTTCTGTTAAAATTACAGGAAATAGTGAAACTTGAGTGATGCGGACAACAGATTTTCTTACTTTCACTTAGTCATTGCCCCTTTCTGGCACCAGGATATGAACCCGTAATCTTACATTGGGAATTGAATAGCTATAACTTGGTTAATAGTGTCCAAAATGAACAATTTTTATATAGTTTTGTAGGTATTTTCATATTCAGGAGGCTCTGAAACGTATAGATCCGTCGAGAACCACATTTCGGAAATTTGACCTGTTCGGAATACTTTCCTTACCTAGTATAGGTAGGAAAGTAATAAATTAAAACATGTGTAAAAAATAGAATAAGCTGTATCATCGTCAATACTGGTTCGATAAATTTTTTTGTTTTGTTGGTAATTTAATTACCTTTCAAAAGTTTTATTATAAATTTTACCATAGAATATATACTTAGCGAGTTAGGCCCAAAAACATTTTTCTTTTCTTTATAAAATATTTTCCGGAATTTTTTCGGGAATTTATTTTATGTAGAAAAATTGAAAGGACAATCATTAGAACATTATAAGAAAGTTTCATCAAAATCCTTAGAGCTGTCAGTAGTCAAAAAAAGCAACAAAATCGTTCCACTAGTTCCCGAGGAAATCTTGGCACAGACAGACAGACTAATGGCTAATAACATGTTTTTCGAACTCAAGGGGCTCTGAAACGTATAGATCCGTCGAAAACCGCATAAATTTGTCCCGATCGCAATACTTTCCTTACCTAATATAGGTATAAAAGTAAAAATACAAATAATAATTTAAAAACATTAAACTGCACATAAAAAAATTCAACTATTTTTTAAATATAAATTTTGCGGTCAGCTGTTTGATTATTACCTTCCTTAGCTGTTACCTTAACTTTCTTTGATTATGGGATTGGATGAATTTTCCAATTGTAATCTAACATCGTTTTCCTGCTTCATGGTTAATTTCTACTCGTTTATGTCAAATTATTATTAGTGATAGATACGCGATTGTTTTGAAATTAATTTTGACAATATTGAAAGGATATATCTTCCAGCTGATCCTATTTCGGGCTAATCCTCTTACGAGTCGATTGACAATATTGCAGCCCTACCTGTTTAAGGGTAAGCGAGATCAACTGATGAGATTACGGGAAACTGCTCAGAGCCTGTACGCTAACATTGCAACCACCATCGCCTTAATGAAGCCTTATTAAATGCTATGAAGGTGTTGGAATCCATATATATATATATATATATATATATATATATATATATATATATATATATCGGCCTTAGCTTAGTACGATTTGTCAATGGGACCCCGAGACGTTCTCATGTTTCTTACTACTACGCCACTCTTTCCCTCCTTCAGAAGACAATATTTCCTAGGTACATTCCTTTACCAAATAATCTATAATCATCGTCCGTCCTACGCATTCAATTTCCTTTCAATTCAAGTCATCTATCCACTCCCTCTCCACAAGATCTTGTCCTTCCGACCTTTATACCCCTTTCCGCAAATCGGCCTCATTTCTACACTCCTTTATTGTCCGATCCACCACATTTTGTAATTACATCCCACTTAAAATCCGCTATGCACCATCCTTATCCACATTTAAAACCCTCTTATTTCAATTCCTCCTTACAATTCAAGCATACGCTGGGTAGCCATTTATAATATATATCATATATGTACATAATCTCCCCTATATGTATACTATATTTTTTTTTCTCCAATCAATCAACATTATAGGATTTAGGTTATATAGAACTTTTATAATGTTTACAATACTATTATTGCATTCTTCGAACATACTATTATTACTATAACATCTTTATTATTATTATTTTTTTTTCATTAATACAATGACATGACAACAAAAGTTATTTGTCACTCATTTTTAATTCCATAGCTTATTGTGTATAGCAACTATTTTGCAGTATTAAGATCAATTCTTACTATATCTGTACAGTTATTTAAATACTTCTTTTATCCCTTATGTTTTAGTTGTTTTTTGTTTTTTTTTTTGTTTGTTTTTGTTTATTGTAATATACATTTTGGCCAGGTGTAATGTTAATTTTATGTACAATATTGTTATTCTCAAGGGACGTAGTCCCAGAATAAAGTTGATTCTTCTATTCTATTCTATTCTATATACATGTGATGTAGTTTGAGATCCTTTTACTAGCCAATTAAAATATAAGTTAATTACAGAAGCTATCACCATCAGCCCGTAGGATTCGGTTCGCCCACATCCGCCATCTGCTCATCAGCTGTTCTCTGCGTTCGCTATTTCCCTAACGATCTCTACCGGGTCTTGTTGTTATTTCAAATACAAGTGATGTTTTTTATCCATCCAAGTCAGAAACGAGAAATCCCTTATTTTATAAAGGAGAGCTTTTAATCAAGAGCGTATGAAGAAAAAAAAAATACTAGTCGTATATTAAACCTATATATTATTTCTAAAAGGTTTTTTTTTGCCATAACTTCGTCAATTCTTCATCAAATCCAATGATTGACCACTCATTTTGAAAATATATTCTTCTCCTTCACATACGAAAAATATTCCCATCCCCACGAAATTTCTGGAAAAAAAAGTAATGGAGGAAAAGAAACTTTATTTGCGAATAACTCAAAAAGTATGCAAGATAATTAGATAGATTACTAAATTACCTGCAAAACAAAAAAAAAATCTTAAAAATCGGACAAGTATTAACAAAGATACAGTCCATTGTTTTTGGTATACTTAATAATGTCTCCCTGTTTAAAGATATTGCATTTATTACTAGAATAGTCTACTACATGTTTTTTTCCTGGCTGATATATTAACTTTATTATTTCTTAAAGAAATTTGGTTGTTCTTAGATTTATTTGTTTTTAATAATTTAGAATATCCTGTGATTGGGACATTATTTTGTCTTTATTACTTTTATTATCTTTCCAGTCAGCGTTTAAAAATATCTTAGCAAAACAATTTGTATAAATATTTTGGTCTATTATGTTTAATGGAATATTGTAATCGACTCGAGAAAAAAATATTAATTCCTGCCTTACATAATACATAGGAACTATTTACTTCCATATTGTTTTGCTATTTGTTCAGTAAACAAAATTTTCTGCGAATTTTTCACACGTGCCAGCCAACTAGTTAATAATTAAAACAAATACAACAACCTGTCATTTAGGATGTTAAATAACGCTGAATTGCGTGAACTGTATTCAATTAATATAATTAAGATGAGGGGAATAAAATTGGCATGTAAAATGTGTTAGTAACGAAAGAATTCCTAAAAAAGTTAATATGCGCTGTATAGTCTAGCAAGCGTCCGAGGAATAGACCAAAGCGAAGATGGGAAGATTGCGTCAAGGCTTATCTGACAGAGTGGGCTTTCGACGGATCCCAATGGATGAAAGAATGTGAACATACAATGGTGGTATCGGTATCGAACTTTATCGCTAAGATTTATTATTATTATTATTTTTGAATTTCGCAGTTTCTTGGCTTTTGCCAGGAATATATTCACTTACCCGGACCAAGTTCAAGGGTTAGGCTCAAAAGTTTTTTTTATTTTTTATTTTAATGAAATTTACAACTGTATTATATTAAAAAATACAACAAGTAAACGTAACATTGGTTACAAGACATGTACAACATGAAGAGAAACTATCCATTGGTAGAACTCAAATTAAAGTTCTATATTAGAAGGTCCCGAGGCCATCTTCTTTTCGCCTCGGATTGTTATCAGGGATCGAGGAGGAAGAAAGGTTTGAAACGAGAGGGTTCGGATGGTTCTGCAGTTTGTTATGGAAGGATAGGTATCTGGATTGGGCCAAATCGGAAACATATGGAACATTAAGGTCTTTATGGATGATTTTATTTGTGACAAAGTAAGGAGCGTTGAGGATTTTACGAAGGATTTTGGATTGTAAGGATTGGATACGAGAGGAATTCGATGGTTTAATAGAGCCCCAAAGCTCAATTCCTTAAGTCCAAATAGGTCTTATTATTGTCATATATATGAGTCGTTTGTAATTGATTGAAAGCTTAGAGCGTTTGTCTAGTAAGTGCTGCAGTAGTCGAAAACGTCAGGCGGTTTCTAGTCGTTTCAGTCTGGTATGGGGGTTACTGAAAAGTTAAACTATGTTTAAGAACTTCCTGACGATGTTGGCTGTGCCGAGAACTGCTTTTTACCCTTCTTCCAACACTTCCTCTGGCAGTTTCAAATTTTTGACAGAGCGAATGGTATTGTCTGGGATGAGGCCATTGCTGAAAATTACAATTGGATATATTATTATTATAGTACGTACAAATCATAATTTTATTTACATTATTCTACCATTCACTCAAAGTAAATGTATGTACAACTGGTTTGTAGTACAAGATAAATAAAATACTGATTTAAATCGAAAGCATGGTTTGAATTTAACAAATAACCTCATTTCACTGCTGAAGCCTTCATTATACGTGAATGAGGTTAAATTAATTAGTAAATAGTAATTGCTGTCATTTGTGAAACGTGGCGCTTTCCTGTTTACCATTGGACGATAAGAAAATATCTCGAGAGCCCCCCTCCTTTCGACAAAGACCATTTGATATCTCTCCGGTTTTCCTCCTCTCGGTCCCATCCCTAGTTCATCAATCTCTTATCTCCAAGCAGCCCATTCCTCTGTTATCTGTTATCTTCAGTAAACACTTCACATTCTGTGTCGGCCGACATATAATCTAGTTATACAGGTCAATTATAAACCATTTTTCAAATTATTTTTTATTTTTATTTATTTATTGAATATTTCAACTTTCCTTCAATTGGACATTGGTCAATTCATTAATGTAGTTTTTTTTTTTCTAGAGAGAGAAACACTTTATTTTCATAAAATATAAAATATAAAGGATTGCTTACTCTTCTATCCTTAGGACAATATATGAACTTATAAATAAATATACAGAAGTATTAGTTAATATTAGTAAAATATATATATATATATATATATATATATATATATATATATATATATATATATATATATATACATTTTTATTATTTTATTTATTTTTATTTTTTCCTTTTTCCTTCCTTTCATTGTTCATGCTTTTTTTTTTTATTTAACATTAAGTTTCCATTTCTCTCACTTCTCTCTCTTTATCTCTATTGTTTTCAATTATTCATTAAATAAATAAATAAATAAAAACTCTCGGGCTAGCCATGAACGTGGTGGTGAATGATTCCCAGGGATTCGAGGACTATATTTTCAGCCAACCTCGCTACGTCCTTAATGCCGACATCTAGTTTTCCTCGAGGAAGCTCCTTGTTCTTTTTGGGATAGTTCCGCGAGACCCAAACCAGAGGCCTCTCACGGTGAACTCTCGCTCTCCGAAGGTCTCACGGAATTTATCTTTTAGGAAAGGGATACATTTATCGTACGTGTTCTTCTTTTTCCTTTCCACTTCACCCGCCTGATCGAGGTCATTGCTCTCAAAGCGGACAGTTGGATCCAAGATCAGCGCTGTCCTTCCTGTCTTGGGAACTGCGACGATATCCGCGTATCTCGTAGAGCCTTCACTATCGATGCAATATACTTCGTCAAAGCAGGTGAATTTTTTTTCCTAAGGAGCCTCATCAACTCGAACTTGACCCGGTGGTGACGACGTATTATGAGGAGGAAGTTGTTGGGGCATTTTCCCCGCACACGGGCTGGTGTTTTTTTTAGACTCTCTGCCGCATTTATGGCAATTAATTGATATTAATGACAATTATGATTCAGTTTATCACATTTTTTATTTTATTTATAAAATAAAATAATAAATTGATTTTATTCAGTTATCCAGTTGATATATATCGATATAATTCAGTTGATATATTTTGATATAATTAAGTTGAAAAAAATGTTAGATTAAACACTGGAAGGTTTAAATGTGGAGGCAGCCTTAATAACGTTGGCACATTTCTAGAACTGTTTCAGCTAAAATTGAATAATGTAAAATAGTAAGTTTTATTTATACAAAAACTGTAGGAGATCCCAGCGCCTCGCACTCAGCCGCATTACTGTATGGGAAAGAGCGAAAAATATCTTTGATTTCTTAGTGTATACAACATCAGATAATTTTTTTTTTTTCACAATGCGACTATTTTATCGCGAATATTTTTATAAGAATATCACGATTGAATCATAAAATCCTATGGTATGTTGTTATATATATTTATTATTATCTTTGAATATAAATGGCAATTTAAATAAAGCCAACATTTAGGTATTAATAAAATAGTTACATACCTACTACCTTATGTCCTTGCCAAGCCAGTCGATTTTTCTTAACCTATTTTTTTTTCAAATCAAAAATTTTTTTAAAAATATATATTAGTCCGTGGTACAGACCTCTTTTCATCGAATTATTAACATCCGCCTGAAACTTCGTAAATAGTTTCTTCTCATCGTAACCTACAACTATTTTATTTACGGAAACTCATGGGATTGGGTCGTTTTCAATCTGGAGGGGGGCAAACTTTTAAAAATTAAATTTATTTAATTTGGTAGCGAAAATTCGTAAATACACATTTGCATTCTACTTGGATTTTAAGATAATTTGATCATAAAATCGAGAAAAAAGGTGGACTTCAAAACTATTGAGCCGTTTGGCTTGATCTACACCCCCAAAATTTCAAAAATAACGAAGTTTTATAGGACAATCTGCCCAATATTTTTGAAGCCCACCTTTTCTCTCGATTTTGTGATCAAATTATCTTACGATCCAAGTAGAAAGCAAATGTGTGTTTACGAGTTTTTAGTACATAATTAAATAGACAAAGTTTGCCGACCTCCAGATTGAAAACTACCCAATTCCAAGAGCTTTCGTAAATGGCTTGGACTTCGTGAATGTCTTCATCTTATCGTAACCAACAATTTTTTTCATTTACGAAAATTCCGTAAAAAGAGAATTTTCAATCTGGAGATCGTCAAACTTTGTCTATTTAATTAAGTACAAAAAACTCGCAAATACTCATTTGCTTTCCTCTTGAATCGTAAGATAATTTAAGCACAAACTCCAGAAAAAATGTGGCCTACAAAAATATTTAGCCGTTTGGCTTATACAATTATTTGGACCTTTTGGAGGTGTGGTTGAAATATTTTTGAAGGCCACTTTTTTTCTCGAGTTTGTACTTAAATTATTTTACGATTCAAGTCGAAAGCAAATGTGTATATACGAGTTTTTAGTACCTAATTAAATAGACAAAGTTTGTTGACTTACAGATTGAAAATGCCGCAATTCCAAGCGTTTTCGTAAATAAAATAGTTGTAGGTTACGATGAGACGAAACTATTTATGAAGTTTCAGGCGGATACAAAGGGGTCTGTTCCACGGACTCTATATACAACACAATAAGTCATAATAATGGTTACATACTTATGGCCACATTATCTTACACATGTTACAATAAAAACCTACATAATTTATAAAAATGAATAAATGACATTAGAAACTATATACTGTCTTTAAGTGTATACACAAAATAAAACTAAGCACACATTCCCATATTTTATAAATTATTATTCAATAATCGGTGTGGAAAGTATGTTTCTGCTTGTTTATCAAAATTTGTAATATTACGAAGTTGGGCTTTGTCCGAATCGATTTTAGTTCTCATATTTTATTCATTCATGTAGCTCATTTATTATTATTCTTTTTTTTTTATCTCTAATTATTGGGGCGAGAAGGAAATTATATTCTCCTCTCAACATATTTATTGAGGAGGGAGGTCGCTGAAATGTTTGTGACGTAAACATTTTGTTCTCACTTTTTACTTTAATACAAATTCGCTATCTTCGCCATTGAGGAAGCAAAATATACCTCCTTTCACTAGCGGATCCAGAATTTAATTTTGGGGGGGGCTTCAGGCCGAAACCTTTTTTTTTTCATAAAAATAACGATAATTACTTTGGAAAAACAGAAAGAAACTAACTACCTATATGAAATGGTGTTTAAGTTATTCCTTAAATACTTTTAAATGTAATTACACGAACAATAATACTTTAAGAGGTAGTTTTAAATTTTTTTTTCCATAAAACATGGTTATATTTTTCCATTTTGGGGGGAGGGGGCTTCAGCCCGAAAGCCCCCCCCCCCGTAGATCCGCCCGTGCCTCCTTTGGAAGAGCTCGATGAAAAATATTTTATTTTTCACTTACTACATAGGCTCCAGCAGATCGTGAAGACTGACGGACGAGGAAGAAGGGAGGATGACATCGGGTAATCCGTTTTGGTTGACAATCGGGAAGTGAGGGTTGAGGGTGCATGTTAGATGAGGAGAGGTGCAGTTAGTCAGCCTGGCTATAGAGGCAGTGTAGTAGTTACTATCTAGACCGAAATATATCACTCTCTCTTAAAGCTGAGCCATTCAATAGCCAATTTAGAACAGCTATATTCCTCGGTACATACCTCTTTTCATCAATACTTTCACTTACCTATATATTTAATATATAATGAGGGTAAGTATTGTGATTGTGAAATTTTTTTAGTCTGAGTTTTCAACTGAAATACATGTTTTGAGGTCTCCTGTGTCCAAATAACCAAGTTCCACAAATGGTATGTGTGTGTGTTAACAGTCTATCTAAAAAAAAAAGTCGTACGAAAGTGAAATTGCAAATTTAAGGTTTTTATAAGCTTTCGATGTTACAGTAACATTTTCGTCAAAATCGGCAAGCCGGAAGTAATACTTTTTTACGATTTTCTCAAAAACGGTTTTAATGATTTTGATTAAACTCAGTATATCAGTGTATAATTAAGCAGTTTTTAAAATAATATAGTTTTTATTCTCATTCATGTTCTCTATTAGGGCTTAAATGGATAATTTTCAATATTGGCTTCCTCTAAAGTACTTTTATTTTTATTTGAAATAATTAACATTGAATATTTAATAGTTGACCGTTGCATTATAAAGAAAGGAGATGGTCCGGAGTGGCGGTCATAAATAGGCTGAATAGTGGCAAAAATAATTTATAAAAATCCAACGTTTCGACCCGACTTTGCTGGTCTTCTTCAGGGAGGTGTGTTCAGCTAGGAGTTTCACTTAGAAATGCCTAGAAGTTCTAATTAATAACTCTTTCCGAAAAAGATAGTTTTAATTTTTAAATATAAAAGAGACGAGACTGATAGTAGATAATATGGAAGTAAATCCTATCGATGGTAAAATATCGATGTTTTGATAATATCGACTATCGATGGCCATCTCTACCCTCCAGTACCTCCAACCTGGCTTGAATCATTAAAAAAAAAAATATTTTTTTCTTGGGAAAATCGAAAGACTTCAATTTTTGTAAAATATATGTTACCTGCTAATAAACATATTTTACGAAGTGAAAAAAAATTAAATCTCGTCTAGTTTCTTTAATATTCTATTTCATTTCTTGATCATTTAATTGGTTATTACTTCAGCCTTGAAGTCCCATTCTTCTCATATAGATTCGCATTTGCCAGTCGATGAAGTTTTATCGTACTAAATAATTTTTTATTCAATTCATATCCATCCATTCATAAATTAATATATTCATATTTATTTAACATGAATCACTTAATGACATCAATAACTTGACTTAAGATTGCCGATAATGAATGAATTAATTGGTATAATAATAAACATAACTGATTATTTGACACAATTAAAAAGAATTAATGTTCTAAGAAAGAATGGAAGAGAAGGGGGAAAAGACAATCTCATTATTTTTATAACACCGCTAATTAGTTACTTAAAAAGAATATTTAAATTAATTAATAATCAGGTCTTAAGGCCCCACGAGGTCATCAATGAGTTGAGAAAAACAAGATATTATTATGTTTTCAAGGGGATTTCGTGTATAATTAATTGGACGTACAATAAATAGAATTGTCATAATAGCGGCCATTGATATCGTCCCATTATCAACGAGGACTCGCTGGCAGAACAATGGGCGACCGGGTAGCAAGATTACGCCAATGGTCTATATTTAGATCCCTATCGATCAGTGTTAACTCTCGATGTAATATCGATATCAGTCTGGATAGGGTTACTCATATAATCATACGGGGGCCTGAAGCCCCACTCTCCCCAAAATGGTAAAGTGTAACCATGTTTTATGGAAAAATATATTTTAAAATTATCTCTTAAAGTATTATTGTTCGTGTAATTACATTTAAAAGTACTTTAGGAATCACTTAAACACCATTTGATATAGGTATTTAGTTTCTTTGTTTTTTGTTTTTTTTCAAAGTAATTATCGTTATTTTTATGAAAAAAAAAAGCTTTCGGGCTGAAGCCCTCCCCCAAAATTAAATCCTGGATACGCTAGTGCATATAATCGATATCTGGCATAAAGAGTGACGAGAAATAAAAACTCAACTGGAGATTTTCTTGTACTTATTTTATTTATTTATTTTCTTTTTTTTTTAAGTAAAAGTTCACAATTTTAAATAAATGCTGTAGTTTTTGTCTTGTCTGAGAATTGATGTGTTTAATGACAAAGAGATATTCTTAACTGCAAATTCTAAAATTGTTCAAAAAATACAACAAACAACTAATAAAAGTGTAAAAAAAAATCAATAAAAAAACTAATGCAATTGATAAAAGAAATACGAGAACAGTTAGTTTGATTTTTTTTTTTCATTTTAATGTTTTGAATTTCAAATTATCTTCTTTGTACATATTTATTTCTTCGGTATGATATATAAAGAAAGAAAGTGAATTTAGTCCCCCTAAGAATAACTATAATGAACAATGTAATGACAATTATCTGACATTTGAATACAATTAAAAATAAATTAATTTACGTAGTTGTCTAACCCTGATTTTAAAATAAAGAAAAGATACTGTTATAGATATATGATCTTGAAGTATATATATGAATTTAAAGATACGTACGAGTGAAATCACGTGTTTGTACAAATACGCAATATGGCACATACATCTGCAAGATATCAATAAAATGTACCTGTCATCTCTAAAGTACTAAATAACTTTATTTAGACAATTATTCATATATTGATTACTGAATAGATGGAAAAATTAATTTTGTTTGAATGAGGTCAAGTATGAGGATTTTCGTGTAGAGGTTGGTATAGAATTCCGAAACGATATACGTTTAAAAAATAGATTTTTTCTCTTATGGAAAGTAGGTTTACAACTAACAATAAAATTATGTGTTGTTTAATTTTATTTATATCACTTCGAATTTCGCTCTTTTATTTTTAAACATATTTTCAGTATACCAAAAGAAAGAACAAACAAATTTTGGAACCGCTGGTCATAGATATTCTTCGTATATGATAAATGAAATATTATTATCTATAGTAATACAAAATAATACATCAGAAGTTTTATCACTTAGATAAGTTAATAAATAACCTAAAACTAATTTAGAAGACTTAATAGATCGCGAAGAGTTAGTTTTGAAAGGGACCATTGGCTGAGAGAGACAAGGCCCGCTGTGGCTAAATATAGACCACCAGTTCGAGTGGGGGCGTCTCAGCTCTAACCTCATAGCTGTCGTCTTTGTCTTTTCTACGTGTGTGTGTGTGTATATATATATATATATATATATATATATATATATATATATATATATATATATATATATATATATATATATACATACATAAGTATATATTTATATTATTATAATAGTATATAAATATATACTTAGTAAGAAAGTACTGTTTTCGATACAACAGTAATACAATTTGAGTAAAAATTATCTGTAACTAACAGCTAAGAACTATAACTAAATTAGCCTCCTGCAGTGCTACATCCTACGCCCTGAAGACGACCTGCAAAGAAGGCGAAACTTCGGCAAAAATTAAAATAATTACTATATTTTAATTTAGTATTTATTTGACCGCTAACTCCTACTCATCATATAACTAAATTAACTATAACAGCTACAGATAAGTAGTTTAGAATCAATTATTCGTTTGCCCAAAGATAATCCTTGTACCTAAATTAGTTATTCCCTATGATGCGGCTGAGAGAAATGCGCTGGGATTAGTGTTGCCCAAATGCAAGACCGAGACGAGTCTTGGTCTTGCAAACTCAGTCTTGGTCTTGCGCAAGAGTCTCGCAGTTACTTATTAGCTTATTACAATAGAGATATTTCTGTATTTTTTTAGATAGGAGAAACCTAACTAAGCCCAAATTAGAGGAGTCAAATGCAAAAGTATATTGGTTATACCAATTTTTAACATATAGTAACTAAGATTGTTACTAAAAAAAAACGATTTTTTTTCCATTCCTGGTCTTGTTCTTGCAACAGTTAGGCGGTCTTGGTCTTGGTCTTGGTCTTGCAAAGTGCCAAGATTTTTGGCCGATTTTTGCAAACACTATCTGGGATCTCTTAGAGCCTTGCTTTATCTTCCGCCCGTGGGGGAAATAATTTTAAGTTTCCTCGGCTGACGGTAAATATCATAAATAAGTATGAATGTGTTTTTATATTTTATTTAATTTTGTCTCGAGTTTCATTTCTTTTGTTTTATTAAGTTTTCCTTTCTTTTGTTATAAGTTTTCTGATGTTTTTGTTATTGTATATATGGTATGAGTCTAACACAGCTCTGATACTCAATGCCCTTAATTGAGGCAAAATGTATTATTTTTCAATAAAATAATATTTTAAAAAAATAATGATATAGAGATGGTTGACCGTGGTATAATATGGGAAGCAGTTGGTGCGGTCAAATAAATACTAAATTTTAAAAAATAGTATTTTTAATTATTACGCCGACGTTTTGACCCACCTTGCAGGTCTTCATCAGGGCTGTGGCATGTGGCACTGCAGAAGGCAGTTGATAGACGTCAGATAGACTGATAGTCAACTGCCTCTTGCAGTGTTACATGCCACAGCCCTGATGAAGACCTGCAAGGTTGGTCGAAACGTCGGCATAATAATTAAAAATACTATTTTTTAAAATTTAGTATTTAATTGACTGCGTCCCCTGACCAATTCCTTCCCACAATAAAAAAAAAAATAGTTATTAGCAGGCGACTATTTTTTTAGCTATGAAATATGAGTTATCTCTGTAGCTAACAACTGCTTAGTTTTATCTATATTTGCAGCTAAAAAATAGTAGATAACATTCTTACAAAAACAAAAAATAAATTTAAAAAAACACGTGAGCAACACTGTTCCGTCTCTGATGTCGTATTTTACTATATTTTTTGTTTGAAAACGGTGAAAACTTGAATAGAATTTTAAACTAAATTTTAACTACAGAAAATTTTAATCTTATTTTTATATCAAAGCAGAGATGGCAGAAAATATTAAGAGGTGGTACCCAAAGATTAAAAAAAAAAATGCAATGTAAAATAACAAAAAATAAATTCAGGGATGGTGGAGAAAAGTGGAGACCTCTAACACCCAATCAATTTACTTATTAATTTGCTACATAAAGGAATGAGATGGCCATAAAATAGTGGTAAAAGTATTTTATTAAATGCCAACGTTTCGACCCGACTTTGCAGGTCTTCTTCAGGGCTAGAACGGACAAGATACAAAAAGATAGAGAATTGTGGAAGTTATATATTTAGACAAAAAATTATAAACAATGTGAATAATTTTAATAAGGTTATTCACATTGTTTATAATTTTTTGTCTAAACATTATGTAACTTCCACAATTCTCTATATTTTGTATCTTGTCCGTTCTAGCCCTGAAGAAGACCTGCAAAGTCGGTCGAAACGTTGGCTTTTAATAAAATAGTTTTGTCACTATTCAGTCTATTCATGACCGCCATTCAGAACCATCTCCTTCCATTATAATGCAATGGTCAACTATTAAATATTCAATTAATTTGCTACACTAAAGTTATTAAGAGAAGCTCTGTCGATGCGTAAAACCTTAAAAACAAAAAAAAAATGGCAAAGTGGGGGCAAATAGTAATTTAATGAATGATGTTGGAATAGGATCCATCTAAGATGCTCAAAGATTGTTTGAGGTTACAAGTCACTATTGGATCGTTTTACGTTTTAATCGTACCAAGTAAATCTTGATGCTGAATCGAATTGATGTTAAACAACTCTCCTGTTTTGGATAATGAAGGGACACTATATAATCAGGCATTCACTGAATCAAGCTCTATCCATTAAAATTATTAATAACTTACTAGGCGATAAATTTTTCGTTATCTAGAACTCAAAGTTATCTTATCTGCTTCGATTCATCCATTATCGACTATTGCGCTCCCTAAGATAGAGAGATCGATATTTGCGACACCTCTCGAAGACGCGGGGGCGACGATGAAGACAGAGATGCAATCAGGAAGGGGAGAGGGTTCGCTGTTTAGGATCTCCCTCGAGAGGGGTGTTACCATTGTGTCCTCGCTGGGGGAGATGATAGAGTATAGACCCTTCCAAGGGGGGGGGGAGGGTTTGCTACGTAATGAGGGGTAGTTTGTAATTGTTTGCGGGGGGGGGACTTTAGGGCTGATTGTGCCCTACCAGGTTAGCTAATGTTTGACCAAGTTGTTGGCTTTTAGTCTTGGATATAGTCACTGTCATATTTACTATAGTTCTTTAACATCGTCATTACGAATTTTTCACGTGAATCTGTTAAGTCTGTGTGGTATTATAAGTATTTAAATCAATCGATCCTCAAGAATCGAATCATAATTTGACTCGATGTTCTCAAATGTACAGTTTTCTAGATAAATTGAGATAAATCGTGATTCTTGCCGAATGCTTTGTAGGTGCTGCGGTTGCTATGGGATACTTATCACATGTCTATGTTTTAAAAATCACTTTATATCCCACAGGTGAGGAACAGTGCTTGTGTCCTCTGTGACGAAGTTGCTCTATATTTATTAATCTAGTCCTAGTTAATATTTAATTATTTAAGTAATAACAATTTGGAAATTAATAGAATTAAGTTGAATATATGTACGTGGGCGTGTGTATCAAGTGATAAATAAAAATAGCAACGATAAAATAAAAATCTCGTGTGTCCACTCACACGACTTTCCTACCTATTTCAGAAAAGTTTTTATATCTTTAAATATGTCCATTAAGAAACAAAAAACATTTATTTTCCTAAAAATGGATCAAAGAAAAGATTTGAGTACAATTTATTTGGTAAACTAAAGCAACGTAAACCGGCTAAAGATAGATCAGTGTACAAATTTCAATATCCTCTAATATTACTGATAAAAAACTTTTTGTCATATTCTAATTTTGTCAAACAATAATTTCTGTTAAAAGTAGAAGAAATACTGAAGCTTGTGTGATGCAGGCTACATATTTTCTTATTTTCACTTATTTTTCTTTTTTCTCTCTCATTCATCCCTTTCTGACACCAGGATATGAATCCGTAATCTTACATAGGAAATTGAATAGCTGTAACTTCGTTAATAGTTGTCCGAAATGAACGATTTTTAAAATAGTTTTGCCAATCTTAATCTTAGCACAGACAAGTAGACACACAGAGCAATGGCTAAAAATGTGTTTTTCGGACTCAGGGAGTTGTGAAACGTATAGATACGTCTAAAACAGCATTTCGGAAATTTGACCCGGTCTCAATACTTTTCTTACCTAGTATAGGTAGGGAAGTAAAAATAAATATTGTGGCATCTTTAGACTATTTTTTTTCAGTGACATTTTCTGGTATTGAATTTATTGAATTAATATTATTTGTAAACATTAAATAAAAAATATCAATTTATTATTGAACCTGTTGTTATTATATTCCGTCAGCCAATTAATCAACTGACCGTCAGAAGAAAAAAACACCGTGTTTTTATTTATTTTTTTAATTTTTATTATTATTAATTTATAGTCGTTTAGCTATTAAATAACGTCAGTTAATGCCTAATATACAGACTACAAATTCTGATTATTATTTGTCAACATAATTTTGAGGTGCGTTTAGACATTTCACAAACTATGGGAAACACAGATATTTAAATGTTTTTTTCGCTATGCTAGTATTTGTTTCATCTTTTTGTTTTTTTCATCTGCTGTCGGTTACAAGATAAGTAAGAAAAATGTTTGATTTAGCAATAATGTCGCTGTTACTTAAGTCAGATAATTGTGTTTTCCATAGTTTGTGAAATGTCTAAACGCACCTATAAAATAACAGAATAATTATTAAATATATAATTTTTAAACGTTTGTAATAATATTTTAATAAAAGATAGTTGTAGGTGTTCGTTCTCCCGATGCGAGAATTTATTTGTAGTACGCTTCTGAGTAATTCATTATAAACCCGAGCCTTTAAAGATTAGATAATCGATTATCTCGGATCTGATATACAATCGCTATTTGCTTACTATCGATTCATTGATATAAATGAGTGCCTCGCGGTGTAGCCGTTGCGAAACCCGATCCTGCCGAGATCGATGGGGGGCTAAAGGTCATTGAAACATCGATAAGGAGGAGTAGAATCGATAGTAAGTCGAGATCGAGCGTTGAACGAGTGCCAGAGCTCGCTACGTGTTCGCTTCGCCGCTTGTTGACCTCTCAAGGACATCTACGTCCTATCTACGTCTGTATTCACGTTGTGTGCTCCGAAGCCGATAATATTATAGTTTGTCTGCAATTGTTTAAATAATTGTTGCTTCATTTCATATATATTTTTTATAAAAATAAAAGTAAATAATAAATAATATTTTATAAAAAAATTATATTAGAAAAATAACTTTAGCATTCGTAACATATTTTATTGAATACTTGTGGTTCTATATTATCATATACGTTAATATGGAATCAAAATAAAAAACATATACATGTTATTGTAAACATCTTTATATTTCTAGCTTTACTAAACCAGGCGTTTACCGGGCACTCATTTATATCAATGAATCGATAGTAAATAAAAAGCGATTATATATCAGATCCGAGATAATCGATAAGTATTGCTCGGCTAAATTGAAAAGAATAAGAAATAGAAAGCACACGTTTTCCATATGTTTAATTTTGTATTGTGTATTTTTTATCAAGTAAAAGTTCGTTTATTAAAAATTTCGGAATGTTCTTTACAATTTTGAAATTTTTGCTGTTGCATTATAATACGCGAATTGTTATATATACTATTATAAAATGCCACGTAAAACTATGATTTTTTTTTTTTTTTAATCTGTTAGATATAAAACTCTGTTGATAATATTTTACAATACCATTTAAATATTTCATATTTACAATTATTAAATGTGACATTGCTTTCGGAATTCAGCTATATGTGAAATACGTGTACTTCGGGTCATTTATTCAATGCTCCAAAACTTTAAAAATAGCAATGTTTTTTTGTTTTTTAATTGTCTAACATATTTATAGATGTAGATTACAATCTATCACAATTAAGGACATTTATAATGGTTTTCAAAGAGCACGTTTACATTAAATAATACAGAAAAATAATAATTCTAAAAATAAATGTATCTAAACTAAATTAAGCTAAACTGAAAAAATAGAAACTAAACTAAAGAAAATAACTACCCAAATACACACATTTAGTGAATTAGATTGAGCCGTCAGATTTCCGTTGTGTAACGCTAACGATAAAGTTGGCTGGAGTCGACTAATTGGAGTGTTTTTGCATATAGATTAAAATATCTTAAAAATGGTACTGCATATTGTTAGTGAGGGAAATGTTCATAATTTCATCCTCTTTCTAACGAGATATTATTCAAAATTGTATGTTAACACAACACCGTGTTAGGGAGGCGAAAAGGAAAAAATAATGTCGAAAAATAAATGAAAACGAGTTTTATTGAAGATATAAATTAAAATATCTCAGAAGCTAATAATCAGAATTGCATATTGTTAACGAGAGGAATGTTCCGCATTTCACTCTCTTTGTAATTTATATTTCATATTATTAATATCTTCTTGTTGGTGTTTGAACTTCTATCACATACCTTAGTTTTTTTATGCTTAATAATTTCACTATGGAATTTATCAATTTCTTTTTCTGTGTTAGATCACACAAAATATTTTAAAATCCTGATTTCACTGAAAATCGATTCCTTTGCAAATGTAGTAGCTTATTAGGTATAATGGAAATTCCTTTCAGGATATAAATATCTGGGGTATTTTGATTATTGTAGATTTTATTTTTCTCCAGTCTTCAATTTTTTTAAATATTTAAAGTAAAATCCTCGAAAAATTTCAAACCGCGAGATAGATTTCTTTAATATTTGTTTTAGGTCAAAAATGTTGATATTCAAATTTTAATGCGGATAATTAAACTATCGGATAAAGTTATCTCTATATCAAAATCCCTACTTGATAAGTATGTGTTGAATTTTCTTTGTTTAAAATACGATTTACATTTTAATTCTAAATCATCGAATTCCTATCGTATCCAATCCCTACAATCCAAAACCAACGCTCCTTACTTTCTCACAAATAAAATCATCCATAACGGCCTTAATGTTCCATATGTTTCCGATCTGCTCTTCCATAATAAACCTCATAACCATCCGAATACTCTCGTCTCTAACCTTTCTTCCTCTTCGATTACTGACAATCCTACGAGTCGTCTGAAAAGAAGATGGTCGCATAATCTCATTTTGTAGACATATTATTAGAGTGCTACCATTGGGTAGTTTCTCAGCAAGCGTTTTCATGTGATTATATTTCTGTGTACACATTTGTTTGATGTATTTATATTAATACAGTTGTAAATATCTTAAATAAAATTTAAAAAAACGAACATTTACAACATTTCAATTTTCTATCTAACTATTCTATTCACAATATGTTAATTTTACTATTTATTTCCAATTCTTATATAACTTCATATTTTTCGGTTTTTACACTTTATTCTATAAGCTGCACAGCTTATTATCATTTATCTCTTAGCTCTTACTATTGTCATTATTCTAACAACTGAATTTTACTTTAATTTTTTTTACCTACACTACTTATGTTTCTCATACCTTGTTATCTGGTTCTTTTCTTAGCCCTGATGATGGCCTGAACTTCAGCTCGAAACGTCGGCTAATGTCAAAATAAATAGTATCATTTATTTTTGCATTCTTATTTGACTGATCACTCCAACTATTCTTTTCTTCATTATTCACGACAGTCAACCATTTACCAATTATAAAAAAAAACATTTTAATTAATTGTTGATGTAGGATGTCCTGTCACTGATTGATAATTTACAGATGTTTGGGAGACTTAAGTATTTGTTTTGGAGTATTGTGCCTTTGCTATATTAACATACAGGTACTGGTTTGTGGTATTTTTTTCTAATCCCTGAGAGCTACTTGGAGATTGCCGGCGTTCATAAATATTAACTCCTTAAATAATATAAAAGCTGGGATTCGAATCCACAGTATTCAGATCCATGCAATCTTGGAAACCCGTCTCATCGTAGTCGGTCATCATGTTTTTTGCTATACTAAAT